AATATCACTCTTTTATTGTGAGCATTACTAGTATTATTTACGAGAAAGCTTGTTAGGATTAAATGGATGTCTGTCTGTTATTCTTTCGCGCAAAAAATACTGAAGTAGCTATTGATGAAACTTAGGCTAGAGTTTATTAAAATCTAGAAATTAATACCTAATTGAGCTATGTGAGCAGACCCGCAGGACAACGCTTAGAGAATATACTCGTATATCCGCTAAGATTTTTTTTTGTAAACCCTAAGTTAGTAAAAAAGAGGCTGGAAGTTCGTATAAGAATCCTGACTTTAAATTGTAAATAATATCAAGTACATTACAATACAAAGATAAAAAAAATAGTTTTTATGAATCATTATTATTAAAATTAATGTATAGTTGTTGAGATCAGTAATAAATTATACTTTGAATGTGAAACCTTTATAATAAGGCCTTTACTTATTCGTAAACATATATGTATATACGTATGTAATATGTATATAAATGACAGATAAATAAAAATGAAGTAGGTATCTGTTTGTAATGTCAAAATATCATCTTTTTGCTAAATGTGTATAAAAATATATATGGTATTTATAAGAAAACAAGAATTATTTAAAAAAAAATTGTCTGTCTGTCTGTTTGTTCCAGCTAATCTTCGGAACGGCCGGACCGATTTTGACGGGACTTTTACTGGCAGATAGCTGATGTTTTAAGGAGTAACTTAAGCTACTTTTATTTTGAAAAAGAATCAGGTTTACGCGCACAATAATTTGCATTAAAACCCATGACATTGTGAATCTAATCCGCGTACCTACCTATATACGTACCTACGAACGCACCCGAGCGAAGCGAAAATAAGTCGCTGGTCATGAATAAATTTAAAGATTTTGGCTTATTCTTTGTGAGTTTTTCCGGCTTAATGTTTCAAACTGATGTTATTGGGATGTTTAATATCAGTTTGTGGACTTTTCTTGTTTTTAATTACACACCAACATCATTAAAAATACAGTTTACGTACAAATAGCTGATTAAGTTTATATACAAAATATAATAAAAAGGTTTTTTGGATGTAGAAGATGAATGAAATGTTTTTTTCTAATAGTAAGCTAGAGCATACCTAAATGTATTATATAATTTATAGTGATCAAGTGGTTCCTGTAGAATATTAGTATATTAATAGCAAAGGCGAATCGTTTATATATATATATATATATATATATATATATATATATATATATATATATAAATATTATAAGAAGGTAAAGTTTGTAGGTTTGTGAGGTTGTACGGGTAATCTCTGGATCTACTGAACTATTTAGATAAAATTTGGTAAGAAGATAGTTTGAGCCCCGGGAAGGACATAGGATACTTTTTATCCCAGAAATCATCCCTTAAAGGGGTGAAAATGGAGATGTAAGTTTGTATTGGGAAGCAAGCTTGCTTCTCAAAACAAACAAGGACCGAACGTGAGCGAAGCGAGGGTGAGTCGCTAGTATTTAAAAAAATATAAATTGAAAATTAAAAAAAAAACCAGGACGGAAAATTGTGACGTGAATTTAAAAATCGACCTAGTCGTGTCTAAGAAAAATGGTAACAGATGCACACACACTTTTTACCCCAAACGCGTGTAACATCTTCGTGGCCGTCGCGGGTAATAAAGAACATTGGACAAACACTTTCGACTCGTATAACTTTTGAGGGAGATTGCTTTGTGGGTCTGCGAACAGGTTTCATATGACCTCGATTCTATAACATTTCGCAGGTCTATTTGTATAATAATAAATCATGCATGTACGGTATTATGTGGCTACAGCTTCGGAAGTCTTGGGTTCGATTCTCGGATCGGGACAAGTATATTTATTGAAATTTTCTCAGTGAAAAATTAGTAACAGTCAGGAATTGGGATGTTCGCGGTGTTATATACAACCACCCCCCCCCCTCTCCCCCCTCCCCCCACTGGTTAAATATCTAGTCTCATCTCTCATTTGTCGCTTTAGAGGAAGACAATCAGCAGAACAATAATGCTAGAATTATTTGTTTATGGTGAAACTCTAAACATTTATAGTTTCTCTTTGTACACTTTGTTGCCTTATCTTAAAATTACAGGTCTAATTTAAAAGAGACTATTATCTAAAATTATTATTAGTGTCTCAAAAAGAAAATTACTACTTAAAAGAAAAGTACTACTTATATTAATAATCTTTAATGTTAAAGCGCGAATCGACACGTGGAATAAGATTCCTTTTTAACCGTTTTTTTGACAGATTTATTTCCTACTGCGTGTTTTCGAGCGGACAATGCCGCGGTTTTTTTGTTATTGTTATTATAAAATGTTAGACATATGATAAAATCTGCGGATGTTAAATTTATACATCAATATTTTTTTATATTTGGATTTTTTTCGGATATCCTTATATGTAAGTTTCATAAACAGGTTTTAAGATTTTGCATATCATTTATAGTTTAGTCTTGTTTCAAATTGAAAAAAAAACTACGACAGCTGTCTTTTCACATACAATTAAATTGGATAACCTTAAATCGGGATATTCTTCGGGCTATTTATGTTTTTTTAATGGATTTATTGTGTTGCATGCACTAAATATGTTAAATGTAACCAAAATCATTTAGCATTAAACAAAATAAATTTCAATGACTATACAAAAATTTAAATTTGTTAAACAACTCATAAAATGTGAATACGCAGTATAAAGCTATTATCTAATGGCTAATCTTATAGCATAATCTGTAAAATTATGGTAATTTGGGATCTATTTTTTGACATGAATAACAAATACATACAAGACATTTAACACCATCTAATGATATTTATTGGAACTACGTTTTCATTGTCTTACTTTAAGATCTGAGGTCCTGGTTTCGACTACCGTAAGTGACAAATTTTGTATTGAATCTTTTTTTAGAGTTTTTCCTTTTCGCTGGACGGATTTAGAGGAGAACACATATATACTATGACGTATGGAGTTTCAAATAGGCTACTTTGGGCCATAGAGCCGTACCTGAACGCAATGAGCAATTAAAGCACGATAGTCCTTTAAAATCAAATCCTATCAAAATATACTTTATTGAAATAGACTTTACAAGCACTTTTGAATCGTCACTTTTTACATTTTTAAAATTGAAATTAAATGTCATTGTAGTGGAACGTTAAACCCTCCACGACCGCGGTTAAACCGGCGTTACAGTTAACAATAGATTTCTTAGAAATTTACCTGGAGATGTTAAAAAAGACTGAATACATATATACATACAAATAAGTTCACGAGGAATCTACCACCGGCTCGGAAGGCAGTTCTGCTGAGAAGAGCCGGCGAGAAACTCAACAGTTGCTCTTTTAAAAAAAATGGTGTTTGCAATATTGCAATACAATACAATAATTATCTACTTATCCTACATGAAATAGCTTATGGCTGTCGATCGTTCTCTACAACGTGAGATTTCACAGTTAAAGTCTGGCGGGCTTCAATTAGTTTCCCGCTAGATTGACCACCACAAATTTCTGCATTGTCCCCAGCATGATAGCCGGTCCGACTAAGAGTGTCGAGTAAGCCGTGATGGTGAAACCAAAAGTTACACCATACAAAACCAATACTCGTGAGTGGTTTTCGCCTTTATTATGTTAGCCATCATGACCCTTTCAAGCACTTAGCTAATGACTGCTACTCCGTACGGCAAATGGAGGCAAGTAAGAGGCGAGAGAGGATTTTTTTCTCGTAGAGATTTTAAGTTTGTGATAACGCTACTATTCTACAAGACTTAATTTTTCCTTATCAGTAGTTCTGTACTTCGGTCTCTACGTATGTGTCAAAGTACCTACATATTTTTTTTACTCCTAAAATAAATTTTCAATAAACTTCTGAGTGATCTAACCTAACCTTTTACGTTTGTGAGTTGAAACTACATTATGACTATCACAATTTGAAACGAATGGCTAAGATTTGACAAATTTTTGATGTTACTCGAAAATATTAGACAGAGCCATAATTTAAGATATAAGACTTTATTATGATAATACTGTACGTATACAAAGTATGTACTAAAAATTGTAAGAGTTTTCCTTTTATATAATACATAATAATGTATTAGCTGACGTCAGTATGTTAATAATCAGTTATTCAATGTTAAAACAATTTATTTCTTTGAAGGTCGACTTTTATATAAGTTCAAAATCTACTAATTACTTATCAACCATATGTTACATTTGTTATTACTATTTAGTTATTACATATGCAAATAAATCGCTATTGAAAGAAGTATACGTACAATGCTTTTTTATTTGATGAATATAAGCAGTTTCTTAATGTGGGAAATATTATTGCTGAGATAATTTTAAATTTAAATATTAAATGCTTTAGTTTTGATATTGAGTTTATATTAATAACTAGCAGAAACCGCGGTTTCGCTCGCGCTAAAACTACAAAAAAATCTATAAAGGTATGTTTCATAACAACTTTTATCCCCTATTTTACCCTTATGTGAGGAATTTCGAAAAATGCTAAAGCACGTATTTTTGTTATTGTATTGAAGAGCATTAATACTAAATTTTAAGTAATTTTGATCATAAATATTTTTTTTGGATTGTATTATAACGTGTTTTCCCGTGGGAATGACAATCTTCCGCAGCAAAAGTAGCCTATGTCACGCTCCAGCCCTCCAACTATCTCGACATAAAAAAATCACGCCAATGCTTAATTCTGTTTCGACGTGAAAGAAGGACAAGCAAACGAACACATACTTACACATTAATAATCTTAAATATAAGTAATAAGTACGGATTTCTACCTAAAGCTATGAAAATGCGTATTTAATATCTTGACAGAGCTTTTTTATACTCAAATTCAAAATAAAGTTTACTCAAAAGCTTTTTGCTTTGAAAACTACTTGCCAAATTTTAATTAAATGTTACTGACATTAAACATAAACGGTCTTTACTAATTTTACTTATTTTTTGTTTCAGTTAGTAGAAAAACAATGTATCAGTAGTAGTGCAAAAGAAGAACACGATGGCTGCCCCCGCAGTTATAGTTAAACGCGCCTGCAAATACTATGGACAGCAAGACAAACAAGACTTCAAGCCTGTCCTGCATTACTTGGACATGACAGTCGAGAAAGGCATTATGTGAGTAAATAAATATACAACTAATACTTTCCTAGTTTTAGGCGAATATTTGACGTTTTAAATATATATATTTTTAACTATATTTGACTTTGAAAAACAAATACGCTAAAAAAATATTTAAGATATATCCTCTGTGGTTAATTACAAAATAAATACTCAAAGAGTGTTATAATATACATATAATAAAACAGTAACTTTGCGAAATCGATGTGCGGGTTTCATGCAGAAAGTACTGAACCGATTTTAACTATGTTTGTGTAGCGATAACTTAGTATTCGAGTCAACATTTTGGATACCTTTTACTACAGGAAAATCTTTCATTCCCACGGTAAAACACAATAACTGGTTCTATCGAGTCGTCCTTAGATTTACATATCTAAGTTGGCTTAAATCTTAACACCTCCAGGTAAATTTCTAAGAAATTAATTAAAATTCTATGAAATCTATTGTTAACTGACATGCCGGCGTGTCCGCACTCCGCGGTCGTGGAGGAATTATGAGGTACATCAAAATAATGTACTACAAAATTGTAAGCCTACCGAAAAATCTCCATACCATAAGTTTTTCTCCTAAGGTACACTCGCAAAAACTATTCATAAATAGATATATTTAAAATGTGCCTAGGGACGCACTCGAGCGAAGCAAGGATAACTCACTAGTACCTACTTATATGAAATAAGAAATATACAGCCGGAAGCGGTATTACTAAGCGAAGCGATCGATGTCATTCAGGAAACCAGTAATTTAGCCTGATAATGAAAAACAAATTAAATATTAAACTTTCAAAATTTAAATTATTAAATTTTATTACAATCAAAAAAAAATAATGTGTACGAACGTGACGATAAAGCTATAAAATTGTAACGATAAAGCTATAAAAAACATAAAAGTAAAGTAAACTATAAATATAATACTTTCTTAGATTTACGCGAATATTTGACATTTTAAATAAAACTATCTTTTCGGATTTTGTCGCGGATTTATTTGCATTTTTGTTTCCCGACGTTTCGAATGCTTTACAGCATCCATGGTCACGGGAGAGACTGAGGTGTTACATGTCTTGAATGTATAGTTGTTACAGACAGCCTACCCACAATTAACAAAATGAAAATTGCACCAATTACATTACAATATTTTTTAACTTTAACCATTTTTATAATTTTAATTATAATTGAATATGGAAAATTATTTATTTAATTTTTGCTATTATTTTTATAATTATTACAATTTTAAAATATTAATTAGTAATCTATATTTAGTGTTGCCATTATTATATTTATAACCATAAAGAAAAATATAAAATATAGTATTAATTATTTAAGCCATATAATTGTTCAATGTGTAATTTAAAAAGTTAAAATTAATTAAGGATAATCATTTTAATTTAGTTTGCTATTATTTAAAAACAACTTACTAAGCAACACTATTAATATATACTTTTACAAAACACTATTAATATATACTTTTACAAAAAAGTTTTTTACTGGTTCAGTAAATATATAAATTAGCAAAAAAAGTGCTTGAATGTATATAATAAAAGTATATTTTATATGTTTAGTTGGTTATTTGACGTGTAATTTTTAAGTTATACCTAACGAATAAATTAAACATTATGAATGTAAAAAAAATATGATGTTGATAAATATTATCATTATAGCGTTAACTCAGAACTTTAGAGATATTGTTCTCACAATACTTAAATACTTAATATTGTACAATAAATATAAATGTTGGGACATTAACACGCAGCACCATCTAGTTCCATGGTAAGCTACGAGGCTTGTGTTATGGATACCAGACAGTTGATACACTACACATATATGTATAACTTTAAATACATACATATTATAAATCTAAACACCCATGACTAGAGACAAGAAATGAATGCCCCTCAGCGAGACTCGAACCCGCGACCGCTGGCACAGTAAGCAGAGTCAGTACAAACTAAGCCAAACGTGTCGTTACAATGTACATGTATTGTAGATATTAATTTACGATATATCCTGCCCCTTTTAATGTGACTATCTTCACGGATTTCAGATTCTACTCTCTATGGCATAACTATATGGCATAATATTCTTTATTATATTCTTAGATATGCCATTTTTAAGATATTTCGTTACCATGTCTTTTTTTTTAATTATTGTATAACTCTATGGGTAGATACCATTGCCAAGGGTGAAATTTTAACACAATTACACCGTTCCAAAAATATACAATTTTTATATACGTATAAATGTAGAAAGAAATAAAGCTATATATATATATATATATATATATATATATATATATATATATATATATATATCCAAAAGAACATTTATACACTTAAAAAATTAAATGTTTGTAAAATTATAGCAACATAATTTTAAGGTAACCTCTAACGCTTAGCTGTTAGCTGTAAGGCATTTGAAACAGCAGAAATCGAAAACATAAACTTATCTTCTCAATATGTATTAAATTTTATTTTTTTATTTACAGATATGGTCTCTTAGGCGCATCTGGATGTGGTAAAACGACACTTCTCTCCTGCATAGTTGGAAGACGAAAATTAGACAGTGGGGAGGTATGGGTTTTGGGAGGAAAGCCAGGCGAAAAGTATAGTGGGGTGCCAGGACCGCGAGTGGGTTATATGCCTCAGGTATGCGAACATATTTTGTTTATAAACTACGTTCTATATTCATATGGCATTGCAAATTAATAAGGAAAAATCCATATTGTTACCAAAATTCCTTTTTGAACAAGCCCGTACAGTAATATGTATATATTGTGCTCCAACTTGATCTTAATAACCAGATTTAACAAGACACAGGAAACAAAAATAGGTTTAATTTTTATTTATTCATTCTGGGGACTTGTTTTGTCTGGTTTTATTTTTTGATTTTACTCAAGGTAGTATAATCGGTTAATACTATATGTATAATATTACTGTCGGTTTCAAGTGACATTTAAATAATCAACTCACAACGAGCATAGCATTTTTTTAACTTTAATAAATAAAACAAATATCTAAAAATTTTAAATGGACTTTTAGAAGATATTGACAGTTCAGCCATTATTTACATTCATATATTGGTAAGATAGCCTCCCCAAATGGTATTGCTAGAAGCCACGAAACAAATGAAATAAACTGAACTGAAGATGGCCACACTATTATAGTTATATAATATATATTTATCCTAAACTAGTCCAATAGGACTAGTTTACTAGTAATTAGCTAATTAGATCAACTTCAAAAAGAAGAATCTCATTTCGGCTATATTTCTTAATTTTTTTAGGATTTGTTGGTCAAAAGGATCCTTTATAATTTCGCTATGTCCATCCGCCCGTCTATCCGCAGTTTAGCTCAAAGACTAGAAAGCTTTAATTTGGCAGGAATATACATGTTAGGCACGCCGACTAAAGTGGTAAAACAAAATCTTGAAAAAAATAAACCACTACTCGTAATGTGGGGCTGTGTTTTTTCTCCTCTACTCTATGGTGTGGGGACTTTGGATAGGTCTTTAAAAAGTATTGCGAGGTTGTCAAAACAATTTTTCGAATAAGGGATCCGTTTGTGAAATATTAAGCTTTAAAAGGCGAATTTTTGTAAGAGTCAAGTGTCCCCCTTCCCCTTGCCAGCTAAACGGTTCTCTTTGGATATGTGAAAAAAAATTACGGTAGTAGTATATATAAAGAAGTTAAAAGGAAAACTAGCACAACTAAATAGGTTTTACAAATTTATGAGTAATAGTCGACGTTTCTTCTTCGAGAGTTATCTTTAATCGTATCGTAAACAAGCAAATCGTCCTTAACACCTTATTTTAAAGTTAATTGTATTTTAAAAACTGGATCATGCTGCTATTTTGTTATAAGGAAATACGAGTATATACTTGTGCATGAAAACTATATATTTTTCATCACAGGACATCGCTCTCGTCGGAGAATTTACAGTACGTGACGCGATATACTACTTTGGAAGAATCTATGGAATGAAGAAGAAGAAAATGATTGAGAGATTCGACTTTCTATCGAATCTTCTAGAACTTTCTAATGGTAATAGACTGATTAAGACCCTATCTGGTGGGCAACAAAGGCGAGTATCGCTTGCTGCTGCGTTGGTCCATGAGCCAGAATTATTAATTTTGGATGAACCTACGGTGGGATTGGATCCTGTTTTACGAGAACGGTGAGTCTATTTATTTTATTTATTCCTTTTTATTTTTATGTAGCTCTTATTTATTTTTATTATTAATACAATGAATTACAATTAAAATTAATTTTAATCAGAAACTCAAATTTTTTCAACTGAATATGAAGAGTCTATGTAGTTATTCGGTGCTGGAAACCATTATCAGCTTAAAGGTAGTTCCGCGAGCAGAGCCAACCAGAAACTCAACAGTTATTCTTTTGATTGTCGAGTATTTCAATTAAATTAATATTTTAATTATTTAATTTCGTAATTTTAACTCTACAAATTTTCATTAACAAAAAACTCTAGAACACCGTAATATTATTTACTGACAACATTTTCTATTTGTTTTTATTGTTGAAAAGATACATCTAAAACGTTTGTGGAATTTTATTATATTTGAGTATAATCAGGCACATGAAAGATTTATTTATTTTGGATACGAAGTCTGGGTTTTATAGTGTGTACGAAAAAAATATATAAATAAACTGCTATTAATTAAATAATACTATATATTGGACTAGCATTGCCCGCGGCTCCGCCCGCGTTCAGATGATCAAAAACCAAATTCTTAGGTTTTTCATATAACTATACTCTTACTATGCAGTTTTTGTATTTTTTCTCAGAAATGAGATATTTTCCCGCTGTAAGAAGAATCCTATATGTTGACCCGGATAACCAGCTATCACTCTACCAAATTTCATCAAAATCCCTCCAGTGGGTTTTCTGTGATGCGGTAACAGACAGATAGACAGACCAAAATTCTAAAAACTATAGATTCGGCCTCAGTATCGATAATAATGTTTATTTCAATAAGATTTTCCAAAAAATATCTAATGTACAGATTCAGCTTAGTTAGAATTTTATTATATGTATAGATATACTGAGAAAAGAAGAAGCTCACACAGTTTTCTAGTTCATAAATTGTCTATATACATATGTATACATTATACCGTTGTACAGTTGTTGCGTAAAGGGACAAATAAACACACACTTTCGCATATAAAATATTGGGAAATATATTGTACGAAGTGTTATGGTATATGAGTTATGTCTGACACGGATTTTGTTAAAGGTCTTGGTTTTAAATCCCGATGCGTTTTATTATATTTGACATACAATTTCTATGTCTGTGCGTGATTTTTTTAGACATGCAACCACTATCGTAGTCTAATGAATAGCTGTCTCTACGTTAAAAGTCACTAGACGGTATTTGAACTCCTTAAAGATCTTTTTGTTGTAGGTGCTCCCGTAGATCGATCATTAATTCATAGTTTTAATTCCATGTTAAAACTCCTAAATTTCTAACTTACCGCTCAAACACATTCGTGTTTTCCTCACAATACTTGACAGTGGCAGAATATATTGCGTCTATTAACGCAGCTCTAAGCCCATAAAAAGATACAGATTTTTATTTAATTAATGTCGTTTTAATAGAGTTAATATATTTTTTTTCAAATTTAAGTTTGTTTCATAGTGAATGATAATGCTTAGAAAGCTCTTGTAAGAATTATTATTAGTTAAAAACTAGTATTTTGGCTAACTTAGAAATATGGTATAGAAGATTAGAAATATAGTACTCAGCAGTATGGATTTTTGTGTGTACGTTGCGCGAGTTCATTTTTTTTTGTAAAGAGTAAGTAATACCTCAAGTTGTCACTTATTATAATTTAAAAAAAATATCTCTAAGAGTGCCATGTTTACTTTTAAGTCTTCTTCTTCTCCCTGCCCATTTCTCAATCACTTGGGGTCGCCGCAGTACATCTTCTGTACTGCTGAAAGGATTTGGCAAAAGTTTTACGACCGGCCGCCTGCCTGACGTCAACCCTACTTGGGAATACTAACTTTAAGTTTACTTTTAAGTAATTCTATATTTTATATTTATTAATTATAGTTTATTCTAGTTCTTGAAATTGACAAACAAAAGTTGAATTTTATTCAATTATAAGATAGAAATCTTTATTAGCATTGTTTAATTATATAACTAACTTCAAAGCATTTTCATTGTAAAACGAGACTATAACGACGTGGCACTAAATTAAATTGTCTTTTTGTGTGTATTTTACACGATATGAAGTCGGACAAAAACAAGTTAATTTAGATAATGGTACATTTTATTACGTTATATAACATGGAAGTAGAAACTTCTAAATTTCATAGGTGACCTTTATTTTTTCTTACTATTTAAGATATATAGATTTACTGCAACTCACCCTCGCTCCGCTCGGGTTCGTCCCTAGTTGCGCTTTAACGTTTAACGGTTTTGTCGCGTAGTTGATTAAAGTACAATTACTCCGCTTAAAATGATCGTAGCGCGATGATAAATACTTTATAGCCTTCCTCAATAAATTTTATAATATTAAATGAGCTATTTTTGTATTATTATGTAATCAGCCATTTTTAAACGTCAAAATCAGGCCATAGTCCACCACGCTGGCCAAGTGTGGGTTGGAGGACTTAACGCGTCTTTCGAAAATTCGCTAGGTTCTGTCAGACGTGCAGGTTCCCCAATATATTTTTTGTATATACATGTAGGTATAAATTTATTTCGTGTATCTCGGAAATGGCTCTAACGATTTTCATCAAATTTTGTATTTAGGTAGGTTTTGATTTTTAAGTTTATCTATTTTTATAGGTGTCTTTTCTGAAAATAACGCATTCTTTATATCTTTACCTAAAAAACGCCAGGAGAAGCTACTTCGCCTTGATGCTACGCTTTAAAATGCAAAAAGTTTGCTTCCCAAATCTGACTAGACATTTCGGAGTTAAGCGCGTTGTAACGAACAATCACTTTAGTTGTATAATATTAGCATCTTAAATATGTTTAATACTTTGATATTTTTTCTATTAATATTTAATCTTGCTTATTTTTTATTTATTTATTATATTATTATCTATGTACATATCTTTTAATTACGGAAACCAAAAACTGGCAATTGACGTCAAAACATTAAACTTGTCTTTATTTGTTGGTTTTTATGATATAATCACTATTTTAACTGCCTCGGTGGTTGTAGTGGCTAGCATGTACGGCTGCACACCTGGAGGTTCTGGGTTCGAGTCCCGGATCGGGCCAAGTTTAGTTATTGAGTCTTTCTGTAAAGTAAGCCTCACTAACCGCTTGGAGTTGTGAAGTTGGCGGTGTTTCACCCCCGTGCCTCGGAGAGCACGTAAAGCCGTCGGTCCTGCGCCTTAACTCACTGGTCATGTCGAGCAGTCGTCCCACCGGAGTATGAGAGTGACAGGAATAGAGAGTGCACGTTGTGTCTGCGCGTACACTTGTGCACTATAATATCTCCTGCGCAGTTGGCTAGTCTCAATGAGATTATCCGCTGTGGCCGGAATCGGCCAGGAGAACATTATTTTAATAGTACTTCTACCAACATCCATATTAATATTATAAATGTTAAAGTGTGTTTGTTTGGTTGTCTTTCTTTTACGTCGAAACGGAGTGACGGATTGACGTGATTTTTTGTGTGAAGATAATTGGAGGGCTGGAGAGTGACATAGGCTAATTTTTAACTGCGGGAGATTATCTAATTCGCACGGGAAATGCATAATACAACGTCAAAAAAAAAAATTATGAAAAAGGGGATAAAAAAATGTATGAAACCTACCTTTTTAGAGTTTTTTTGTAGTTTTACCGCGAGCGAAGCCGCGGGTTCTGCTATTATGAAATAAAAATTAAACCTGCCTGTCACTTATCAGTAATTAACTTATTTTCAAAATCTGTGCCCAACTGGCACGCCTAAAAGCCACCTATCAAAGAATTGAATTAATTTAAATAATTTATTTATGTCAATGTCACAAACGAGGTGATTTGACAACTTTAACTTAAAACAGCCTTTGCCAGTTTTTCTTTTTTTTTAAATACAATAATACCACAGTCTACTAATCCGTACCGTCGTCGAAGGCGTCTCGAATTCTCTATTCTCAATTCTTCGTGATATAGGCGAAGTAATCTTAAAGAAACTTTTGCAGCTATTTGGCAGAATTTCTATTAAAATTATAGACTTACTGTAGGTATTGATTTTTATAGTGGCAATATGGCTATTGACTATTTACTCTATTGAAATTTACTCACGCTCGTTAAACTACACGTTTTTGTAGCATATAAGAATTATATATTAGCAAGGTCGTTGAACTTGATATAGCTGTTTGCTGCTTGATGTAGTTGTTTCCCTAAATCCATTTAACTTTTGATGAACTTAAAATAATAAATTAATAGAAACATTTTTAAAAACTAGCTTTTATTGAAATGCTCTAAAGAGAACAAAATAAACTTTAAATTAAATCAAACCCAACAATTTATTACATTACACAATTTATAACAATACTTGCGACTCACCCTCGCTTCGTTCGGGTTCGTCCCTACGTTGATTCCCCATACAAACTTTCATCTCTATTTTCACCACCTTAAGGGATGATTTTCGAGATAAAAAGTATCCTATGTCCTTTCCAGGGTCTCAAACTATTTTCTTACCAAACTTCATCTAAATCGGTTCTGTAGATCCAGAGATTACCCCTTACAACGTCACAAACTCACAAACTTTACCTCTTTATAATATTAGTATAGATAAAAACTTGTCGCGAGATTGCCTACTTTATAAAAAAAACTTTTTTTAGCATTACTTATGTCAAGATCAAGTTACATATTCATATCATAGTTATTATATTCTTGATTATCTACTCAGGGAACAAAGTTACAAGGTCTAACTATCTTTAAAGTTTGACGGCACGTTTGGCTCAGTTAGTTCTGACCCTACTTGCTATGCCAGCGGTCGTAGGTTCGAGTTCAGCTAGGGGCAATTAATTGTGTGATGAGCACGAATGTTTGTACTCCAGTCATGGGTGTTTATATACATATATAATATGTATGTATTTAAAGATATATATGTGTAGTTACCAACTATCTGGTATCCATAACACAAGCCTCGTAGCTTACCACGCAACTAGATGGTGCTGTGTGTTAATGTCCCAACATATAACAATAACAA